TGAGATCCGAAAGATATGAATCCAATGAAAATAAACACTGAAACGATGTAAAAGTGACACTTATAATGAATTTAATCAGACCACAATACAGAATGATAAACCCTCAAAGAAACGGGACAACTTAAACTTAGAACCAAATCAGACTGCTCTGCCAGAAATAATATGAATATTTCTTCACACGTCTTACTATTTAGTATTTTTACTTTCAGACAAGCGTGTAAAAGTGATTTTTGTTCCCCGGGAGTATTGCCTCTGTTTGGCATCTATCTTGTCCCATTAATCAAGCCCTCGTGCGCGTTGAGTTGGTGAAGTAGAAAAGGGGATGGGAAGCAAAATTCGGTCCCATCTTTCCCGGAGGACACATGTTAACATGTGAGAGACTGAACTTTAGATACTGCGACAATTAATACAAATCCGGCGAATCCTACGCGGGACTTTGGTAACTCTATTGACAACCTTGCTTGCCTCTCATTTGCTCCGAGAGGAGCCCAAATAGAAGGCGACGTTTCCTGCCGGTTTCTCTTTAGTGACGTGGTGCATTGTTTTAATCGCGGATTGGATTATCCCCATTGCTCCATGGCACCCGGATTAGCACTAGAGTGTTCAGATTTGTTTGATTGTATTCACCGATGTCAGCAACTGTAAAACATCAACTTTGTTTGTTGATGTATTTGTGTTTTTGAGTCGTTAGACCACCCTTATGCCCCACTGGGATATTAATCGTTTCAGTGCTATAGCCAGGCATGCGACTAACAAGGTTCCTCTCAAAAAGTTTAAAGAAAAATATTAATTCATATGCTTTTTATAAATCAAACCAGAAATGGGTTGGGTTGTATACAATATGGCTTTAATTTGGCTCATCTCTTCCAGTGTTTGCTTTAATCCATTCGCGTAATGTCTAGAATAGGGAGGGAGAACTTTGGGTGGGAGGTCTTTTGGAGATAAGGCCATGGGAGGGGGTTCACTTTTCAAAAATACCAGGGGAGGGAGGGGGGTTCACAACTTTGACCCAAAACCACTTGATAAGTGCTCAGAATGATAAAAACTACATGGTTTTGAAAGAAATCCCCAGCCACAGGCCTATAGCTACGTATATTATTAATTCAAAATTGTAAAAAGTAACCATGTAATATAACATAAAAGCAAGGTCTTATAATGCCCGAGGCTTTGGCAGCATATTTTCAAATAAATCAAGAAAGTAAAAGAAAAGAAACAAAAACAAACATAACAAAAGGTATATAAAGTTATGAAAAACTTAGATATAAACGTAGGCCAGGATGTCGAAACATGACACTTCCTGTTCATAACAAAAAAGTACAAATAATACTCAACTTGGGGTGGTCTAGGTAGTGTCTACGTATGCAGGACCCAAAATACTATATAATCATACGGGCTCTAAAAATAATGTAAAATTGTAGCAGATCTCACTGGCACATTCACATATAAATGCCAGCCTTAATCTGTGTGTATACGCAAAAGAAAACAGCATACAAATATTTAGGATTTAGCAGATCTAACGGTCTTTAATTCACAAAATTAAGTCATTGCTTATAAACATATCTGGTCTGGTTAGAAAGAAAGTAATTGGTAGAAAGGGCCCCCAAGAAGGTAACATATTGAAAAGTAACCAGCGGGGTAAGCGATGGTACAATGTAACAAGACCTATTCCAATACTACATCAGCGTGATCACTCCGGGGTTGCCAATGGATTATGAAGTCTGGATAAATGTTAGCGTTTCAAAGTTTAATCCAATTGTTAATTTAAACTGTAGTTTAGATGTTGATATAACATACCTTTGTTCGTATATACATTGTGCGGTCTACTTGTTTGGTATTTTATTTATTTGTGTGGGGTCGTTAAGAACTAATACCAAAATATTTTACGTCAAGTTTCTTTCATCTTTTTGAATACGGAAAGGAATTTTTGTTTAATTCTTTTCTTCGTTAATTATGGTGGTTAGTCGAGAAAAATTTGACAAAAACGCCCAGTTTAAATATTATATCAATTTGTGTAAGTTATTGGTTTATATTTTGTCTAGCAATGGTGTTGCAAATATTTTTGTCATATGATTGCTATCTCCCCAGTTTGACTTATTTTTGACGTTTCACCATGACAACCGATTATGCGTCAAACAACAGGGGCTTACAACTCCCGTTGACAATTACTGCAAACTTTACTTATACATCGGTTTGTCGCCACAAGGGCCTTCCACATCAATGACAAAAGTAAATGTTTATTTTTGCCAATATTTTCCAAATTAGTAAAGTATACGACCACATGGACGATAAAACTTGTATTTTAACTTCGAATCTGTTGGGGGTATTGGTAAATATGTGGTTGAGACGAGGCGCATTCGTATTAGGCTTATGTAATTATTTAGGTTTCATTCATTTCACGCAAACGTTATAGTTTATATCCATTTCGTCATTTCCAAATCCTAATATTTAAAAATCAAATAAAGAAATGAATGGTGTAAAAAAACTAACATGTCTAACTGTCGAACTTTAAAACGCGAGTCACTAATTGGATGCTTTCTCCCAATAACGTCAACTCGACACACTATCTGTTTCCATTGTATCAATTTGTCTACAAACAAATCAATTTGTAATACAGTAACTAATCCACTAAATGCGACAAATTTGAGTAGATACTTGATCTGTAGACAGTATGCCGAAGGCTGGAAGGGTGTCGACCAACGGTTATCCTAGACCGTCTCTCACGGCTTCACGCTGGGTTCGGGAAAGACCCCGTCTAAGATAAATGCTCGACAGATATTCATTAAGGTAGTACTATATGGCCTGGGAACACGTTCAACATGGCGATCTGAAATTGTGTCAGTTGCCGTGTCACCGGGGTCGGGTCAGTTGTAGAAGTACTTTTTTCCTGTATTTTAGGAATGGGATTCCTATTTTAGGAATGGGATTACTACTTGAATTAGTTTTATCTAAGGCGAAAAATATTTGTCCGAGGTTGAATGTTTGACGAATCAGCGTTAAGGTGGGACAGGCTACGACAGTGGATCGCGTCAAGGACGTCGTGAACGAGGGCCGACTATGGGTCTTAGGAGTTCTGCTTGAAGAATGGAAACGCACTGAGTAAAACTTTGGGCACAATGCACCTTAAAGTTAAACATACGCCGGTGTCTCATTTTAATATTTAACTACTGCACAGAAACTACTTGTCAGTCATAATATTTCTCAAATATCGCGATACTAAGAAAATCTTTATAAGCTGCGAAATTGTAGAGATAGCATCTGTAGCTTTTTCACAAAAATAATTATTGAACATAAAAAACGACAGCAGATTTCTCAAATTAAGTTTTAAGTTTCGTCAATTTTTGTTGCCTCCGTAATCTGGTACTAGTGCGAACACACAAGTTAATAAATGAAATGGCCAAATCAGTTTAAACAATTCACATAAATTACGTATAATATGCTGGTCGGATTAAACGACTATTTTAATTAATTATGTCAAAATTGGACATTGGTCGAAAGTGTGTCACTACTTGAAGATAACGTTTATCATTCCCGCATCATATTATCTATAAAACTGACATCAAAACTAAACATAAAATGAACATGAAATCGGCAATTACAATAGCAATTAAATGTGATATTATGGTTAATTATACTAAGTAAATGTCATCAGTGAACGCATACAACAATATCCTTATTTCCAGCAATTTGCTAGTTTTAATAGAGTCATTTGAGCTGGGGTAAATTAAAACATAAATTCAGCTTTACTGGGGTAGTAATTATAGTCTACAACGCGGGCATGCTGTAATTACTACAGATTAAGCCTTCTCGGAATCAATTTCAAAATATTGATAAATAGAAGACTGGTATTGTCAGTTATAAACAAAAGTGAATGATGTACAATGTACATGTACCGATCAAGGGGCTAACATCGTGGTAGAAGATTTCACCAACTTTCATTTAGTACCGTCTTGTGACTGGTGTAATCGCCGTACTGAATACGAAAAAGCGATCACAGTTTAACCAATGTTTCAATGTTAGCACAATTGAAATGATTGCTTATTATATTTATTGCCATCATATAGTTTCCGATTTCATAATTGATATAATTTAGCCGAAATGCACAAGTGGATAACAATTGGAAAGGCAACATAGAATAAACTCCTCTCTAAAAACTACATGCAGTTAGCCAGTAAATAATTTCCACTTCAATTTAATTTCTATAATATATTGGAAGCTTATTTTGTCTTGTATTGGCAGTGGTGAATGATTGCCTATGAGTCCATTACATTTTTATGCCTAAAAACTGGTTTCATTTTCAATATTAGAAAATTTAGAAAATCTTACTTATGCTAGAAAAATAAGCCTCAATTTTAGGCTTTCTTCGTAGTAATGTTTGAGGAGCACTTATTTTGCAAATATATGACCTCAAAAATAAAATTGCTATTGCTTTACGCGCTACGCCCTACTCTCTACTCCGGGGGTCATTAACAGAAAATCCGTAAAGATTCCTAAATCCATTGATGCAACAATGGGTACGCTGTATAATGACGTCATGGTAAGAAAACTGACATCTCCTTTTCTTGAACCAGATTCATTCATTGATTGTGTTAAGGTAAGATGAGAAGATCGCAACGATAGTGCTAATGAAGAATGTTTTCAAACAGTCTCTATTGATGATCGCACGTTATTATTACGCTGACATAAAAACAATATGTTGAAAAACATATCAATGAGAAATTCAGATGGACGAACAATAGACGTATTTGAGATGACTTTATTAAAGACAGAGCGCAGTAAGATATGATCGTAATAAAGGGTTTATCCCGTGTTATTATACACTGATGTGCCTTGTTAAGAGTGGGCTTTCCGGAGAGATGGGGGAGATTTCTAACACAAAGACAGTTCCCTGAATATCAACGGCTAGTACTAATTATAAGATGAAGTTCTCTTTTAAAGATGCCATATCAAGCTTTTGGAAAGGTAGTATGTTCTGAAGCAAACAGGGATAAATGTTTTGGGCTTATTTAGGGGCAGATCGGAAAATCAAGAGGATGGAGGCCAAAAAAATTCAATTTTTTGTAAAAATAGGCCCCAAAATTGAAAAATAATGCCCAATTAAAGGTCGGTGTTTTTCCGGAATCGTCCAGTTTATCCCTGGAGAAGCAAATTTGGTCAAGCCTCATTTTTTCTCCTATAGTAAGCCCCCCATATCCACCATTGTTATTGGTTAATACTCAACAAGGGAGTTATTCTCCAGGGGCTGGTCTAATATATGGATAAACATTCGGTCCAAATGGCACATTAATACCTAGCTCATCAATGTACAATATGATGTGTTTAATTTTCCATTTTGATACGCAAATATCGTTGCAACATATGATCCGCAACATTTTCTTAACAGATCGACCTAATCGAAACAGCTCTATGAAACAAAACGGAAAAATATTATTATTCGAAAATGAAACAGAAACATGGAAATAGATATTTGGATGTCGTAAATTAAAAGTGTTTTTTGATTCATCATCATCAACTTCATTAAGTGTAGATGAGGAAGTACTTATTGAAACACTTTTGGATGCCACGTTTGACATTTAATTTGCTATTAAACGATGATGTGTAGAACAATTCGTGCTTCTATCTTGTCAAATCATTAATTCAATGATAAAGCTTTTGTTCATCTATCAATTGCACTTAAATGCAGTTATTGTAGACTCAAGCAACGCAGTTTAAATCCTCAAATTTTGTCCATTTGGGGAACATATTTTCGTACCTTCTCGATTAAAGAGCGAACTGCGAAAAAGGAGAATTGGTCAAACAGCGGTCTATACAACAGTTTAATTATTGACCGAGTGATATTAGGACAATAACGTAATTTCAAAGGGCAATATAGTGAAATATTGGACCGAGGGCAGAAATGAAAGCAGAAAATTTCAACGAAGGCAGCGCAGAAAACCACCGCAGAAATGACGTTATTAGTATTATTACCACCGTTAATGACCAGGCCTGAAACAGCAAGAAAATCTTACGCGATGAACGATACCTAATTTCCCGGGGAAAATTGCCGGTCATTAATTGCATTCTTGACTGGCAATATTGACCACCACTATGACGTCACATATTGCTCAGGGAATGCCTTCTAAACTAGCACTAAAACCCATAGAACTGGCCCGGCAAGGTGGTAATAATATATACAGAATATCACATCATTTTGAGTGATATCATTTTTATCGGCGAGTTGATATCAAATATCAACACGAGTGAGCCAAGCGAGTGAACGAGGTGATAAAATGATACCACGAGAAATTATGTGATATTGGGTTTATCCCATGATTACAATCACCTTGTGATGTTCTGATCCAATTTCCAGGACATTGGCAGACAATATAAACTAGAAATTAGAATATCAATTGAATATTTGAAACACTTTATTTTAACAATTAAAAGTAAATAAAATGAACATGTAAACATTGTTTTTTGTCAGTTTTATGTCAGCTTTATATAACAGTTAATATTATTGTGGCTCACTACTAGCCTCCCCCTGCAACAATATTGTGGCGCGAAATGCAAATGTGATATCACACGGATATGCGTGAGATAAATTATATCACACGTATATGAGTTTGATAAACGATTTTCTGGAAAATATCACACGGATTTCAATAATATCAGAAATATCAATAGCTGTTATTGTACAGATAACACATTAATGGTTGGATAAATAGAGGATGTTCTTTTTATTCCATAGTTAAAGTCATCATCAGAATCGTCGGAATTAAGTTATTTAATTCGAATTTCCAAACGATCCGGCGATGTTGACACTTAGCCTCGTTTTGAGTCTGAAGTAGCAAAAATCCATAAACCATCGCATACGACGTCGTATGTCATGGTTAAGTGAAAATTTGTCAAAAATATCATATTTTACCACTGATTACAAAAATACCGTTTTTATTTTCACATGTTATCCTATGAATATCATGCTAACTATGGAATAATAGAAAATATGAACCTCCATTTCAACTAACCCCAGTGATTGCAGCATTTTAACGCCGTTTCGTCCGGTGTATTACCAAACCCGTGTGATAATACATCATTCCGTAAAACCACCAGGGCAAAATAAAATATTATTTTAATTCACGTTTGATAATGTAACATAAACTAACAGTTATGAGCCATTAGTTGTATATTGCTCTGTCTCATAAATTCATAATTGTATTTCTCATTCAATTTTAGGATGAAAAATTAATCGGCCATTGATAGCATCACGCTTGGGGTTTTGAATCAATTTTGTAGGATTTTGCATCTGTTTAGGATCTCGGTTGTCAACAGAACATTACTCAACGAGCCCTACCCCCATGCCATGGCAACCACGAAACATTCATTCCCTCTTTAACAAGCAACGATAAAGGAAATTGGGTTGACAAGGAATCTTATCGAAACTGACGCGCTTTATTTGTTGGAACAATTAGCACGGTTTTAAGTAGAAACGTTTAATTTGAGTACGAAACCGGGGTTAACCTTCGACAAAGGGAAAACCGTGTATCGGCCATCATTTTTTTCACTAACACGTGACCAGCATCGCTTAAATGGAGAGCAATATGTCTTTGTAATTCTGCAATTAATAAACCTTTAAAATGTATTTATATACACATTTGTGATAAAATAAGCCTTGTGGTGACAACCAATTTGCAATTGATATTATGGAATGGAGAAGGAGACTGGTACTAGCATCCACTTTTTATTTTCAGTCTGAAATATGTTGTTGTTATCAGGAAAATTAATCAAAATAAGAAATTAGACTAGGATCAATTCAAATAAACGATTATAAAACAGACAAAATAAGGCAGAGGAGCGTATACAAAGCCAATGCATGAACTTCTACTAAGATACCGGATACGAAATCAATCTGTTTTCTTACATTTTGATAATTACAAGCATTATATGGCGATATAGATTACAGAAAGCACGAATATAACGCCATGATTACTGTTACTCCTGCGCGTATTGTTGAACGTAATTATATGTTTTCATCGCGGAGTTTTCTAACATAGACCGAAATGTTATAAAGAGAAACAGTACTCGACTGAAGTCTATTATCTATTTTCATCCATTTATTAAACATTGAAACATCTAGAATTGAAATAATAGCTTTGCCGATAAACCATCATTGTTCAGGAAATAATACAAAAACTAAAATTGCTCAAATTAAGAGCGCAGTTCCATGTCTATAATTTGTTTCGCCACATCCTAGTAAACGCTTGTCTCTTGCTGCTAGGTATTTGTTATCATTGGTTTGCTTTTCCGATATTTTTTCCACGAAGCGTTCGTTCTTACTATTGTGATTTCTTTGCAATTGTATCCCTTTCTTTGATTTTTATTATGTTGACCAATGTGGCTGTTGTCTATTAAATTTTTGCCGTTTGTACTTTTTACGTTTTATGTTTATTATTTGTTATTGAACGTTGCAATCTTTGTGTTCTTTTCAGTTGTTCTTTTAAGTCTTTCTCATTGCCTGTTCAACTGCACCGATCTGTCCATTGTGCTTTATTTGATTTTTATGTGCTTATTGTATATACTATATAATATATCATTGTAGATATCTAATCTATGTAGATATACATCTTTCCTGTATAATTCAAACGTCGCTATATTAAATTGATTTTAACGTTTATCTGGTCCGTTTTTGTAGTTTTAGTGTAACAATAGACATTTACAATTAGGAAGGGTATGGGGGGGGGCAGTATGCCGCTATTATTCATATACAGGGAAAATATGAAAAGAAAATATGTTATAATGTATTGTATATTGTATATACAGGGTAATTGGAATAGAGATAGTATATTAAACCGCCTAGAGTTATTATATTCAATTAATAATATCTTTAATTCAGGTATCTTTGAATGGGTATCTGTCAAATGGCCGATTGATCAAAAAATGAAATAAAAAACGTAATATAATTTCACACATCTTAAACTCCTTTGTAGAGCGCCACTTCACCATATAAACATATGAATGGCTCTTTTTGTGTGAAATACTCGATAAAAGTCCTTAATTTACAATTTAAGATTATTAATGAAGAGTATATCGTGTCCATTACAATTTCAAACTCGAGGGGATCGCATGTTTATATACAAATCATGTTTGCCTTGTCAACACCTTGAATAAAAAGGTGTTTTTTCTATAACAAAATGGACACATCGAAGATAAAAGGATAATTATTTTCATTGGCGTTAACTGTGTTCAGATGCTATGACCGCCTCGGGCATCGCAGTATGGAGTTGCTTAATTAATGCATGTTTTATGAAAATATTTTGTATTTGATTTCTATAAATACAAAACTAAAAAGCAAATGTGTCAACGTTACCATTTAGGTTTTTAAATGTAAATATGTTTAAGAAAATATTTGTATTGCTAACTGCATTACTAAATTCTTTACCCCGGTCGGTAACACTATTTCTATTATGCTTTTTAAACAAATATATTGTCACTCGTTATGTTCGTTCATAACGCGGTTTATTCCATAATAACATGTTTTCCCTGGGAAAATAACAGGGAATAAAAGTGTTATTTGAAAAATCCCGTATCAGATCCCGTATCAGCCAAAATCCCGTATCAGATCCCGTATTGGATCCCGTATCAGCAAAAATCCCGTATCAGATCCCGTATCAGAAATATTCCCGGTAATTTCTCTTGAGTTTTATTGTTATAAATTATTTATATTTTTAATTAAAACTTGATAATAAAAGTTGAAAATGTTATATGATAAATTGTATAATTTTATGTCACAATCATTGGATGATGACATACAAAAATTGAAAAAAAAATATTATGAAATAAATAGGTTATTGATGGTCGTGATGGAATATGGATTTATTCCTTGAGAAAATATGATATTGGCCTCAGAAAATATCATATTGACACTCGGGCTATCGCCCTCGGTCAATATGATATTTTCCTTGGCCAATATCATATTTTCCCTCGGAATAAAATCCATATTCCATCCCTCCCATTAAATAACCTCTATGTATTAATGATCACGATGACTAAAAAAATTTATCTTTTAATTTTTTGTGATTAATAGGGGTTTCGGATTTACAACGCGCATAGTGTTAACGTTCGCTTCGATTCGTCTATTATGACTACAGATGTACTCTGGTACTTGGCCACAGAAGTTTCTACATCTTAATTAAAATGTGAACAATTCAAATTGAAATTAATTGACGTGTTTATATTTGTTATCATTTAATTAGATTCTACATTGAGCATACACTAGTGGCTTATACTCACAGTGGGTTATTTTACGGACAATGGCCGATACAATCCATAACTCCTGCTTGAGCTGTTAAGAAAAATGCAAAGAAATTAACATTTATTAAATGTTATTATTTCCCAGTGTTGGTTGGATAGAAGGGGTTGGCCGGTGCTTCAGGGGCTGACTCATTCAGTGACTAGAATATCGGAGTGTTCTAGCAGAAGAACCCCACCAATAGATATCAATGGACGTACAGCTGGCCATGTGATCGCAACCCGGGTCCATTGACGCAATTCAGTAGCTCAGATTCTAGCCCCGGGCCCTTTGCATGCCCAACCGGCCACAAATTGAGTGCTTTCACAAGTATTTGTTTAGTAAGCCCTAAACTGGGGTGTTCATTAGAGCCGTCGTGAAGAGAATCATCCCGCCCCCTGCCCAGCCCCCATATAGCCGCGAGTGACCTCTGTACCTCGATCGCTAGGAGGCAAGTCTTATTGCAGTTCCACCCAACAGGGGACCATTCAACGCAATACAAATCTCTCTTTACAAGTTGTAATTTTCATAATTACTTTCAGGCTTGTTTCCAAACTCGTATTGAAGAGAAGTGAAAATAAAGTATTTAGGTGTACGTTTTCAGACATTTGAATTAATTGTATGTT